TAATGTATACTATATTTTACATGTTATACTATACTTGTGTACATATTCATGTTATGACGTATCAAAGTGTATATATTTAGAATTCATATATATTATCGTAATTTATTGATATTCACGAAATGCTTCACATAGTGCAGATTAGGTTTGTTCTGTACGGTATAGGTAGGTTAAGTTGATTGCGCTGCATCTTCTTCCATCTAGGATTAATTTTTAAGTGTGTATCGGTGCATGCAAATAACATACTTTTGATTTTCTCGAGTACGTTGTCATTTAATTCCCATCGTAGCGGTTATTCTTATTTTACTGCTTACACCTATCAGCAGAACGTATATCAGGCGATATACGACGGTGTCTGCCAAGCCAAGCCGTGCTATTTCAAGCCCTTGAAGAATCTGTACTTTTGCAGGGTATGTAGCTATTTGATATTGACCGTTTCAAACGTTCACACTATGCACCATACATCAGCATTTATTGTCGTATGCGCTTCTGTTACTATGTAAACTTCGATGATTTGATCCTCGCCTTAGAGATTACCATTTCCTTGCTTCCAATCTATTGCTGTAATTGCGAAGTTGTAATACTTGCGCTGGTATTTCTATTCACTCAAGGCTTCGCTTTGTCCAATTCCAACCCATTATTTTAATGTAATTTATACTTTCATGATACAGCGGCATGCACCGCTAGACAAAGATTCCCAATTTATATTCTGCACATATGAAGATCCCGAGAGCGGTCCCTGTAAACATGTCATGAGGAAAGGCATGTCGACGACCTTGTGTCCCGCCCACAAGTCAATCTCGGGTATGTTTGAATTGGTAGGCTAGTATCTCATCGTATTTACAGTTACTTTCTGTGGTTCTTCATGCCTTATGCGAGACGCGTCCAGCATTTGAAATACTATATAGCGTTGGTATCGTAGATTACTGCTACATCGTTTGTATGGGTGACAGATGGGTCTGCAGTGTTTTCCGCAGTCGTACGCGTTAGCCACGAATGAGACGAGTGCTATGATGCTGTCTTCGATGACATCATGTTCGCCTAGATCAACTAAGCATCCTTTTGCATTTATATATATGACACAGCCAAGCGAAGACTGTGTAGTGTTAATGAGTATCACAATTTGACGATGTTCTTTTCTTCTGCCGACCTTTTGTACACGAACATTAGTCACCAAAGTCAAGCGAAAATCTGGCCGAGGTGGCCGAGGTAATAGAGGCGGTGTACCGCGCCGGGCGCCTGCGAAGCCAAAGGCTTCCGTAGTGTCGGTAGCGGCGCAGGGAGAGAAAGAAGCCAAACCAAGGAAGAAAGCACCCGGCCCTACAGAGCCAAAGGCTCCTGCTCCTGCTGCTGAGGGACATCAGACTGCCCAGAACGAAACATCCGATCCGGAGGTGGATGTCGAAGACGAAGCGGATATGGACGTAGATGGAGATGCAGACAAAAACGCAGATGGAGATGACGCTGATGAGGCGGAGGAAGATTCTTCAGAAGCTGCCGACGATCCAGAGGTGTCGGAAGACGGGGATAACGAGAATGAGAATGAGAACGAGAACTCGGATAATGCTGAGGAGTTGGACCTGGACTCGGATGCTGAGGATGGCGAGAATGGTGACGCGGAGGTAGATGAGGATGCGGGTGGCGTGGCTGAAGATGATGGGGATGAAGGTGAAGACGATCAAGCGGACAGTTTTGAGGAGGAAGAGGATGAGAATGAGGATGCAGAAGATGAGGATGAGGACGATGAAATGGAGGAGGTATGTTTATTGATTATGATTGTGCAACTAAATTCATTGTCTGTTGTGAGGCGTGAGATAAAAATTGGTTGTGGTCAGGAGTCAGGAACGGTTCTCGATGGTGCTAATAGTAGTGTGTAGTTAGTTTTGCGTCAGTCTGGCTCGGTATGTGTGCTTCGCAAGAATATACACATTGGCATGCCCCTATCTTCAGGCGCAAATTTGAATTTGTGCGACGGATAGATCGTGCCGTATATTTGATCTAGCGAGAATTCTGTCAGGTCCGCTCTCGTAGCTTGCTATTCTTGCGTAGCCCCTCTCATTTCATGTATGTCCGTCTGTGCTATACTATACACTGAAATAGCAATCTCTCCGCATACGAAAGCCACCTTCATTCCTGCTCTCTTATTTTTTTCTTCTTCACAATAACAGGATATTGGCTCAGGGGACGATGGAGGCGACGGAGGGGAGGAAGAGGACAAACACGAATCTGAACCTTCTGACAATGTCAATGAAGAGGTACATCGATCGTAACCTGTCGCTTGTATCCGCGCAAAGCTGCTAAGCATTTACTTTACAGTGAATATCACGCCATTCCGAAGTCGTGCCTACATATATACTTTCAATTTTCCAACAATCGTACGAAGGCATTGAGAAAACCGTTCTCAATTGCCTTTGTGTGAGAATCATCTTTTATCATTGTTTTCGTGACGTAGAAGTTCTTGCTATTCAATGTAGACGGCTAGGCACGATTTACCCACCATTTTAATTGCAATATCACGCTACCACTCAGGATGACGATGAGGATGCATAAAGACTGCATGTTTGCCACTGTCCCGATCTACAGCTATTTATAAACTTTTAGTAGGACTGGCAACAACACGTGGCAGAATGGCTACAAAACGGTGACTTTCAATAGGTCGGACAATCAAATCGTATCTCGCCAACCCGAGCCAGGAAACCGAAGCTCGTGAACTGTTCTGTTCCGGCTGCAGTAGACGTTAAGGAATCGATGAAACCTGTGTCTAATCGAGTGCGTAGCTGTGGTGTTCTCATAATACTGGTAGTCAACGCTCGTGGCACTTACATTATAAGAAACCCACTTACATCGGAACCGAAAGTGCAGCGGGTGCTTGCTCCGATACCAACCACTACTTGGAGATTTGAACCCAATTCGACCACAGTGCAAATTCGGACAGGGAAACGATAGAAATAAATAAATACATGCGTGGTTTGGATGCGTGTGCTACAACCGAACTGCCCAATAAAGCCGCTCAATAATACAAAATAAAGATTGTAATTGGAACAAATTATTAATATGGATTTCATATACAAGGAAATCGCGTTACACAAATAGTGTGTAATCCAAGACGAACAAAAACTACTACATACATACTATATCTTTGCAAATATGCCACTCCTATATGTGTACTCGATTTAAATTCCACAACAGCCACATGAACACATCACTGGCTTAACCACAATTGATAAATTCTAAGCATATAGCGGCACATATCATAACCTCATATACTTGCGATTACGACTGAATATGCCAATAGCTATGCATTCCAGATCCAGAGTTGTGTACAATTGTGGCGCAAAAAGTAGCAACGTCTATGTCTATAGCCAACCCAAAACGCCGGTTTCCTTCGACAGCACAAATGCAAACCCCTTCGATGGCAACTAAGCAGGTGTGACAGGCGCTTCTCAGGGCATATATTGGTTTATTTTTCTATCACCAGCTTATTTCCACTGTACATATTGCCAATCACCACCTGTCTCTTCACAACAACTAAACTCTCGAGGCCCTCGTGGTAAGCAGCAGTCGCTTCGGCCTCGGTCGATTTTAGGTTCCTTCGAAATCCGTCTTTCGTTCGTCTGATTGAATAAGATCTGTTTGTAAATTCGATTCGTCAGAATTTTAGCTATTTGAGTGACAAACATGACCGGAACGAGTCGAATTTGCAGCTCGTGCACCAAAGTGTTGATACGGTTGTATAGAGTCAGCATTTTAAAGAGACCAACTAGAGCGAGCCCCGTGGATATGTTGGGGCGGTTGACGCAGACATTCGCAAGGCGAAATTATAGCAATTTGAGTGACAAGCATGACCGGAACGAGTCAAATTATAGCGCGTGCACCACAGCGTTGATTAGTTTGTATAGCGACCGAATTTATAGTGATGAACTAGAGCAAACCAAGTAGATATCGGTTGCCGTATACATCTATACATCTGCAAAGACGCAACAAAAGTAGTTCACGCTATACAAAACAGAGAAACACACGCTCACATGTACAGGAGAAATGTTGAACGAACTAATCCAGACTCGAGATGCATAGGCAAGCAACCCCGAAACGAAAATTCGGCCGTTTCACGTTTGTATGTCGAACTTTGCTTGCGAATTTATGCCTCGGAAGTTCAACTTCACTTCTATGATACTCTAATGTGCCCTAGCATTCAACTGTGACGACGCGAGCAGGGTGCTCTTCCTATAGTATGTGAACTTCCGCGGCCAAAAGAAAAATGAAATTCTAGAAAGTATTTAACAACAGTTAAGAAGCACTCCTGACATCCGACACAGCATTCAAGCGAGAGTAATACTCACGAGCACAGGTCAAAATACATAAATGTTATCGATCTGGTTTAGTTTGCACTACGAGTATCAAATACAGAGTTCGAGACAAGAAAACAACGAGTTCGAGGGAATATTGTCTGAAACGCGAGATGATTAACTCAGTTACTTAGTTCAACCATACTCTATACTCGCGACACTTTCACATAGAAAATTCTTAATATAAAGAACTCGGACAAGATTCAAAATCGAATACAAAACCACAACATTGTACGAAATATATTAACAGATAACAGATACAAAGCCCACACAGCGGAATATTATATCTAACCAATTAGCCTTGTAGCATACACAATGTCAAACAGCAGGCGACAGACAAGGCCCAACGGAATATTATGAATTTGACTTGCGAGTGCTATCGCAACTGTGCGTTGACCTATATGGGCGGAGAGTCGAGTTGACCCCTTAGCAGACGCGATTTAATAAGAGTGGAGCGCTTCAACTGTATACGAGAATATCGACATAGACGAGAAAAGCAACATACTTCACATTGAATTCCTGGAATTTGTGCGTCTCTCTCAGTAGCTGACGATACAACGAGAGTACGGCCCGTTTACTGGGAGCTGCCACACTCATTCTGTTATTTTATGTTGTATTAGATAGACAAAATATTGTAGAGGTAGAGTGTAACTGGGCTCTGTGCATAAGTAGGCGTTGTAAGTATATTTCAATCTGTACGGGTATATTTTAATATTCGCACAGATGACAGAATACACAATTACACACAAAGCGTTTTTTTTTTTATATTAAACAAATGTTTCAAATATTTTTTTGAATGACACAAATAGAATCGTGCTCTGGTCACTGGTGGCATGACGTCTTTACGTCTTGATGTCGTGGATGTCTGATAGTGATCACAGGAAACTGGTGTCTGGGGCTCGTGGGGCTTCTAAATATGTTGTATTTTTTTTGTTCAACTTCAACATTCAAGAGCAGACGTAAATAGTTAACTAGGCAAGGAAAAAATATCGTAATTATATTATTTAAATCAAAGTACATATATTTCGTGATGTGTGTTTACGTAAAACGTAGTATTTTATTAAAAAACCCCCATGACCGCCTCTCTCTACTCTCTCTCTCTACTAGCAGTAGTATGGGGCACGCTGCACAGCAGTATAAGAGCCGGGATACTCGGGCCGATTTTGTAAGTTGGATAACCTTTTTCTGGCTTGACCGATTTTCAAAATTTATGCACCAAAGCATTTGGTAGATCGAGGGCTGTCCAAAACTGCATTAATTTGAAAATGGGTGCCTAAGTCACACATGTGGGTGTGATTTTGGAAAAATATTTTCATTACATTTATGCAGTAAGGCCGACCGCACCGGTGGTGAAAATCCGGATTCAAAAATCCGGTGAGAAAAAACGAATACTGTGTGTCTATAGGTCAACTAGATTTTGAATTTATAACGGGTGCGGTACTTTCCAAATATCGGTTTGTAAAAATAAAATCCATTACGGCGCCCAATTGCTCCAGTTACTCCAACGTTTGACATATATTTGACATCAAAATTC